TCGTAAGTATACAGCGACTAATTTCACAAAAAATCTTACGAGAAAAAATGGATGTGAAGTTAGCAGCCGGTTCGTTATTCGATATTCGATATTCAATATCCAACCGACTGCTAGCAGTCGGTTCGATATTCAAATTTAGTTGAAAATCATAAAAAAACATAATATTTGATAACATTAAAAGCATGATTTTAATAGTTGAAAAGAGTGAAAAGATACGTAGGAAATCGTTTTATGACCCCTTCAAGTTGTCTTAAACTCTCGTTGTCCTCAAATATAAACCCTTATCAATGCTTATGTAATTTGCATATTTGTCTTTATTACATTTTTATCAATAAAACGACATCAAAACTGTAATTTTATATCTAATATTTCTTAAAAATAAAACAAAAACCGATCACTAGAAAAAATTTTGAAATATAAATAGAAATATATATGGAAAGCCCCGAAAAAAGAAATACATAGTGAAAACCTATATACCTGAGACCGCTTAAATGAGGGTGAGACCCCCCTGTTCTTTCAATGTCCATTCGACGAATTCATAGACTCTGTATAAATAAAGATTGTATCAAAAGGATTTTCCAGAATAATGTCATCTTCGATATCTACGGAGGGCTTAAATTGTAACTTTTCAGCTAAAAAGTGTCAAAATTTCAGGACAAAGGGCACAGGGCAATGGTGAGAGCCCCCTGATCTCTTAATCTGCCTAATATTAGGCAGACAGTTAGTTAATAGGTAGATACAAACGTAACTAAGAGGAATTAGGGTATACTTCCTGTCTTCTATGTTTACGGAGGGCCCAAAGTGCCAGTTGGATATTCAAAATATATAGCGAAAACCTTCCTTAGACCGCTTAAATGAGGGTGAGACCCCCCTGTTCTTTCAATGTCTATAAAATTCGACGAATTCATAGACTCTGTATAAATAAAGATTGTATCAAAAGGATTTTCCAAAAAAATGTCACCTTCGATATCTACGGAGGGCTTAGATTGTCACTTTTCAGCTAAAAATTGTCAAAATTTCAGGACAAAAAAAGCTCTTTGCACGTTAAGAACCCTTGCAACAACTCTTTGAGGGGTCCGTAGGTGACCTGTTGCAAGGCTTAATTTCTGTTCCTATCCAATATACCCTCATTTCCCGTGGCAGTCTAAATTTCTCCGACCTTAATCCCTTAATCTATTACAGATCCTACCTATTGTATTTATTGTGAACTTGTTCCCGTCCTGAATATGCATGAATTATTTGCCACTGGACGTTAAGCAACCAACAATCAATCAATCCATGTTTACAGAGCGCCTAAAGTGCCAGTTGGATATTCAAATTAATAGTAAAAACCTACCTGAGACCGCTTAAATGAGGGTGAGATCCCCCTGGTCTTTCAATGTCCATAAAATTCAACTTAATCATAGACTCTGTATATGTAAAGGTTGTATTAGAAGGATTTCCCAGAATAATGTCATCTTCGATATCTACGGAGGGCTTAGATTGTCACTTTTCAGCTAAAAATTGTCAAAATTTCAGGACAAAGGGCACAGGGCAATGTTGAGAGCCCCCTGATCACTCAATCTGCCTAATATTAAGCAGACAGTTAGTTAATAGGTAGATACAAACGTGACTAAGAGGAATTTGGGTACACTTCCTGTCTTCTACGTTCACGGACATTGAAAGACCAGGGGGGTCTCATCCTCATTTAAGCGGTCTCAGGTAGGTTTTCACTATATATTTTGAATATCCAACTGGCACTTTGGGCGCTCCGTAAACATGGAAGACAGGAAGTGTACCCTTATTCCTTTTAGTCACGTTTGTATCTACCTATTAACTAAATGTCTGCATAATATTAGAAAGATTGAGAGATTAGGGGGCTCTCACCCATGCCCTGTGCCCTTTGTTTTAAAATTTTGACAATTTTTAGCTGAAAAGTGACAATCTAAGCCCTCCGTAGATATCGAAGATGACATTATTCTGGGAAATCCTTCTAATACAACCTTAACATATACAGAGTCTATGATTAAGTTGAATTTTATGGACATTGAAAGACCAGGGGGGTCTCACCCTCATTTAAGCGGTCTCAGGTAGGTATTCACTATATATTTTGAATATCCAACTGGCACTTTGGGCGCTCCGTAAACATGGAAGACAGGAAGTGTACCCTTATTCCTTTTAGTCACGTTTGTATCTACCTATTAACTAAATGTCTGCATAATATTAGAAAGATTGAGAGATCAGGGGGCTCTCACCCATGCCCTGTGCCCTTTGTTTTAAAATTTTGACAATTTTTAGCTGAAAAGTGACAATCTAAGCCCTCCGTAGATATCGAAGATGACATTATTCTGGGAAATCCTTCTAATACAACCTTAACATATACAGAGTCTATGATTAAGTTGAATTTTATGGACATTGAAAGACCAGGGGGGTCTCACCCTCATTTAAGCGGTCTCAGGTAGGTATTCACTATATATTTTGAATATCCAACTGGCACTTTGGGCGCTCCGTAAACATGGAAGACAGGAAGTGTACCCTTATTCCTTTTAGTCACGTTTGTATCTACCTATTAACTAAATGTCTGCATAATATTAGAAAGATTGAGAGATTAGGGGGCTCTCACCCATGCCCTGTGCCCTTTGTTTTAAAATTTTGACAATTTTTAGCTGAAAAGTGACAATCTAAGCCCTCCGTAGATATCGAAGATGACATTATTCTGGGAAATCCTTCTAATACAACCTTAACATATACAGAGTCTATGATTAAGTTGAATTTTATGGACATTGAAAAACCAGGGGGGTCTCACCCTCATTTAAGCGGTCTCAGGTAGGTATTCACTATATATTTTGAATATCCAACTGGCACTTTGGGCGCTCCGTAAACATGGAAGACAGGAAGTGTACCCTTATTCCTTTTAGTCACGTTTGTATCTACCTATTAACTAAATGTCTGCATAATATTAGAAAGATTGAGAGATCAGGGGGCTCTCACCCATGCCCTGTGCCCTTTGTCTAAAATTTTGACAATTTTTAGCTGAAAAGTGACAATCTAAGCCCTCCGTAGATATCGAAGATGACATTATTCTGGGAAATCCTTCTAATACAACCTTTAGATATACAGAGTCTATGATTAAGTTGAATTTTATGGACATTGAAAGACCAGGGGGGTCTCACCCTCATTTAAGCGGTCTCAGGTAGGTTTTCACTATATATTTCTTTTTTGGGCTTTCCATAAATATTTCTTTTTATATTTCTAAATGTTTCTACAGTTATAGGTTTTTTTTTTTGTTTTTAGAAATAGCATATATAAAAGTACATATTTGAAGTTGTTTTATTGATAAAAATCTATATTACATAAAGACAAATATGGAACTTAGAAAAGGGTTTGGACAACGAGAATTTACGACAGCTTGAAGAGGTCATTAAACGATTTCCTACGTATCTTGTCAGTCCTCTTAACTATGAAAATCGTGCTTTTAATGTTATCAAGTATTTAATTTTTTTTATGATTTTCAACTAAATTTTGAATATCCAACCGACTGCTAGCAGCCGGTTGGATATTGAATATCGAATATCGAATAACGAACCGGCTGCTAACTTCACATACATCGAGAAAAAACACTCGTAAGTCATGAACATTTCAGTATAACTTACGATAAATTTTTGTCGTAAGATGTTTTGTGAAAAGAGCCCCTGGAATTGTTCATGACTTACGATCAATCTTAGTCGTAAGTTTTTTTTTGTGAAACCGATTCCTGAACACCTGAACAAAATTGATAAGACAGTTGCGCTGTTTACATATAATAGTTGTATACCTGTAATCTTTAGAAATATACCAAAGTCGTGGAAAGATGTTCACATATTCTTTGAAAGTTCATCCGAACAAACGAGAAATTCAGAAAAAAAAATATTCGGGTAAACCAGACATATTATAAAGGGTAAAGTATACGTTTCTGGGAGCGCATTAGATTCGCCCGCATTTGGGGATTAATTTCTGTTTATGTTTGCGCACAGCCTTTGCTTACATTTGCGAATAAACCAGAGTAAATAGCATTCTGCTTCATTATGAAAGAATGGCAATTGAATGAATAATTTAATTTAGTTTGTAAAATTACACCAAGACACTCGCATGGAGATTCCTTTGTCAGAAACAAATCGGGGGGGGAGGGGGGTTGTGTACGATGGATTTACTTTCTGTATAGACAGAACACTTAAGTCAGGGGATATTTCATAGAGATGCATCGTAAATAATTGCAAAGGTATTTCACCGGAATCCCATTTTCCTCCAAGTCTTTGGGCCGGGCGTACTACGTATATTTTTGAGAATGTTACGACATGTGAAATTAGTACTTTTAATCCTTTCATTTACTATTTTCTGCATTTTTATCTGTATATTGTTCCAGAACTACTTGCGTGTGCGTAATACCACCGAATTTCAAGTAATATCCTGCTCGAAAATAATAGTTCAATAAATAGTATAATCTACCTTATTTACCTTAGTTTACCTCTAAAAGAATGCGCGCAAATTTAATCAAAAGCTGTGCGCAAACGTAAAGGTTTAATGCGCTAAAATGTTTCACGATCGAAAAATTCAACTTTTTTTCTCGATAAACCGAATGACACCCGTGATGAAGTATTATAGATACTATGAATTCTTGAAAAAGAAACCATGAGCCCATGAATCAACGCTTATCATTGTCTCTACTTCTAACTTGACTCTATAACTCATGGATCTTAACCTTGCGGCTACTATCTTATACTATACGATTGTCTATTATGTATATATAAAGGTACAAACCCTGTGTGTCCGTTGTACCGATGTGTATCATATGTTCATTTATATATATAAAATAGACATCTAGATTGCAACCCATTGGTAGCCGAGAGGTTTCATCGATGTGTTAGTGTCAAGCACACATAACAGATTCCAAGGAGGAGTTCGATTCCCAGTGAAGGTATATGCAATATAGTTGAGATTCCGGAAATATAAATTTTGCATCTGATTTCGTGTATTATTTTGAAATATCAACTTCCTGTACTTTTTTTGTTTTCAATACCAGCGGAGATGAGGGAGGTGTAGAAATACAATTAGCAAGTTTTACTTCTGTCCGATTGTGGTAGACGAAGTTTTTAACATTTCGTTTTTTTTTCTTCAAAATCAATCACTTGCTATTCTGTTCTGTACAGGTATTATCCTCCGTTATATATCGGAGCACTCCCACTTGTGATATATCCCCTAGGAACCAGTAATGACGCACCTAAGGTTGTTTTTGTTTCTGCATTTAATCTACCATTTAAAAGAATTAGAAAAAAGGAATGGAATAAAAGATTGATAACTTGTTATTATATTTCAATTATTGAACAGTTGATATTTGAAACAGTAATAGCAATAAAATCATGTTTGCTAACATTACAAACGGACTGCCAACTAATGATGGGTACCAGTAATGACGCATAGCCTGGGATCCTGGCTCACTGCTTGACAGTAGAGCCAGGCTGATTACGACGACATGGTTTCTTCAATTGGATGTTAGAATGTTGCATCGTGGGATAGCGTCATTTCTTGACACATGGCGGGAAATATTTATATTGTCACGAATTCATTGAAAATTATTTTTCATTTCATATGAAATGCAAATTTCGAAAGATTTAGCATAAATAATTCACACGTTATTGATTAACATCATGAATCAACTGTTAATCAACGATCTGATCGATATATTCCTTGTTTATAGAACATGCACATGCGCAGTAATTCAGTCCTGTTCAGCGCTGATAGTTGGTCACGTGGATTGTATTACGCCTGGCCCTATCGACAAAGTATTAGATTGGGTCAGGATGCCAGGCTATAATGACGCACTGTAAACAAACCAGTAAAAACCACTTGTACGTAACTGATAATCAAAAAATTGCTTCAATCCGGATTCTTTAAAGTTAAAACTGTTCAACAGATTCAATTTTATTAACAACTTTTGAAATTTTCATTCACTTTTATGATCATGATGATTGTAACACCAAATTTTTAATCAATTTAATTGTAACCTATATTTTGATATATAATTGTCCAAAATTTATGAAAGTGATATACATATTCCATTATCATGTATATGAAAATAAAAAGTAATTGCATTCATAAAACAACATTGACAATAATACATTTATCAATGTACATATGCATGTCTTACGGTGTTTATATATCTCAACTTGTACGATTCGCTCGTGTATGTAACAATGTTTTAGATTTTAACGAGAGAAATTTATGTATTACTGAAAAATTATTACACCAGGGTTTTCGATATCACAAACTAGTCAAAACATTTACTAAATTTTATCATCGGTATAAGGACATCATTTGTAAATATAGCTCAACATGCAGACTTCTTATACGTTCAGGTATTTCACATCCAATTTTTTATGGAAATATTCTTTATAAAGCACAAAAATGTCAGTATTCACCTCTGAAACTAACAAAACCTTTAAATAGACTTATTAAGAAGGGATATAGTTACGATACTGTTGTCAGGTCATTAAAGATTGCATATTTTGGCGTTAATATTGATTCACTTATAGGGTCTTTGCATCGGCACTAAACACATTTATTTAAAAACCAGTTGTTGGCATGACACGGGTTATGTATTTCTCATATATGTTATGATGGTATGATACTAAACCCCTAACGGGAAGGATTGTGCCTGATATTCATATGATGAAGACATAATCTTTCAATCAGTTTAATTGAAGTCCGGAGCTGGCATGTCAGTTAACTGCTAGTAGTCTGTTGTTATTTATGTATTATTGTCATTTTGTTTATTTTCTTTGGTTACATCTTCTGACATCAGACTCGGACTTCTCTTGAACTGAATTTTAATGTGCGTATTGTTATGCGTTTACTTTTCTACATTGGCTAGAGGTATAGGGGGAGGGTTGAGATCTCATAAACATGTTTAACCCCGCCGCATTTTTGCGCCTGTCCCAAGTCAGGAGCCTCTAGCCTTTGTTAGTCTTGTATTATTTTTAATTTTAGTTTCTTGTGTACAATTTGGAGTTTAGTATGGCGTTCATTATCACTGAACTAGTATATATATTTGTTTAGGGGCCAGCTGAAGGACGCCTCCGGGTGCGGGAATTTCTCGCTGCATTGAAGACCTGTTGGTGGCCTTCTGCTGTTGTCTGTTCTGTGGTCGGGTTGTTGTCTCTTTGACACATTCCCCATTTCCATTCTCAATTTTATTCATACATTGAATGGAAAAAATTGATAAACCATAGAAAATTATATAAGCGACGATCATTTGTTCTACAGTGATTCCCGCTTAAATGTAAAGCCATGTCACATGACAGTCACGTGATTTGAAAAACACAAAATGGGGAAGTATAGGGTTACATACTTTTCTTGAGCAAAGTGGAGATAGGACTGATAATCTTTCGGGGAAGGGTAGAATTTTTTTTACCTTAATAAAATGGCGGAAATTGCATTGTCTTTAATATTTTAAGCAATAATAACATTTCTGGGCACAGTTTTAGGCATCTTTGTTGTAGTCAGATGACCTTCAACATCATGTTATGAACAGCAAATGTTGATGACGTCACGGCTTTTGTTTAGAAATATAAAACCGTTAACTAAATCGGTGCGTCATTTCTGGTCTGTGTCAAAACAGGTACCAAGACGATAGTTTTAACACTTAACAATATTTAAAAGTGTGATGGGGTGCAAAAATTTAATAGTTTTATATACAGATGAGAACTATGGATTTTAAAACAAGTATTTATAATTATAATGTGCTATTTACATCATTTATAGTTCTACCTATATATAGGTTAGAATTTAGGATTTTAAATATTCTTTTAATGAGACAGAGGGAGATTTATACCATACAGGCATACGTTAAAAAAGTAAAAATTGCTTAGTTCCAATGCTTTTAGATGTTTCGGTCACAGTTTAATTCAACCACATATCCAGTTACAAATTTTTCAACACCAAATTAAACTATTTGCATATATGTTGTAAGTTCATTGATACATTACAATTATTGAATAATACACCTTATCACTATTTAGTCCAATTAAAAAAAAACGTCACTTAGACAACTTCCTGTTTGGGTCATGTGTCGCTAAAAGAAAGGTCATCAGTAACAAGCTGAGGGAGTAAAAAGTTTAGAAAGCGAACATTTTGAAAGTTTGATAAATTATGATCCACTTTTTGTCAAGCCTGCGACTTAATTTTGTCGCAAAAGCGACATAGCAATCCTACATTCCGTCGTTGTTGCTGGCGGAGGCGTCCACAAATATTCACTCTGTGGTTAAAGTTTTTGAAATTTTAATAACTTTCTTAAACTATCCTGGATTTCTACCAAACTTGGACAGACACTTGTTTATGATCATAAGATATATAGTATCCAGAAGTAAATTTAAAAAAAAAAAAATCCTGTTTATCCGTATTTTACTTATAAATGGTCGACTTAGTATTTCTGCCAGTTAACATTACATTCACTCTGTGGTTAAAGGTTTTAAAATTTTAATAACTTTCTTAAACTATCCTGGATTTGTACCACACTTGGACAGAAGCTTGTTTATGATCATAAGCTAGTATCTAGAAGGAAATTTTGTAAAAATTTATTTCCTGTTTTTCCTTATATTACTTATAAATGGACTTAGTTTTTCTTCCAGTTAACATTACATACAGCCTGCAGTTAAAGTTTTTAAAACATTTATTGGATTCATAAACCATCCTGGATTTTTACCAAACTTGGACAGAAGCTTCTTACAATCAAAAGATCATAAGTATCTAGAGGAAAAGTTTGATAACTTTTTCCCCATTTTTGTTGAGCCTGCGACTAACAGCAAAAGTAGGCGAGACACTGGGTTCCGCCGAACCCTTTATACAAATTTTTTAAAACACAAATTAAAATTATGAAACGCTTTATTTTAGGTGTTTACGATGGTTAAAAAATGTCTCTTTGAAAAGTTTTATGCAAAATACATTGTTTAAATAGGGCCCCAGATAGGTTCAACTGGATGAAAAAGTTGTGTTATTTCAGAACTTATCCGGATTGAAATAAATACGATAAGGTGTATCATAGTGTATAGAAAAAAATGAATATCAGATGAACAAATTATAATAGTCTTGGAGTCCATAACAAATTGCACCATTGCAACAGGTGACAGACAGTTGTAGGCTTCAAATAAATGAAATATGTCCACATGAATTAAGGTAGCACAAGTCTGTCAAATTTGGCAACATAATTTTATCTAATAAATGGCAAATAACAATGAATAATAACTTGTATCCTTTTTAAATTTAATTTTTATTGTTATATATTTCACAAACAATTTTGGGACGTTTTGGAATTGTACATTAATTGATTCCAGTCCATTTAGATGTTTGATGGACACTGGTGCACTTTTAGATGGAAGAGGTCTTGTGTTCTGAATAATAAAAAGTAAAATAGCAAAAATACCGAACTCCAAGGAAAATTCAAAATGGAAAGTCCTTTATCAAATGGCAAAATCAAAGGTCAAATACATCAAACGAATGGAAAACAGCGGTCGTATTTCTGACTACATGTAGGTACAGGCATTTCCTTATGTAGAAAATGGTGGATTAAACCTGGTTTTATAGCTTGCTAAACCTCTCACTTGAAAGACAGTCTCATACATGTAGTATCCATTATGTTCACAACAATGTGTGAGCAAAACAAACAGACATGATAGGTAAAATTGTCAAAAATTGGGGTACAGCAGTCAACTTTGTGTTATATTCTTAATCACTATACATGATCAAAAAACAAATAACTATTTCAACAAAGAAAAACAAAATGACACGAATACACTCTATAGACAAAGCACATATGCAAAAATGTAAGACAAGAATACAAAAAATGACCATAGTACAATAACACAATGGTGGGTTGTATAAGTACCCAGACACACCAAAAGTATATTACCAAGAATGGAATAAATAGTAAAGGTTAGAAATATATAGTCAATAAGATATATTTATAGCACTTGAGCTATTTATAGCTAGCATTATTGACTTGCATTAGCATGATTAGCAACAGTGGTACATTGTAAATCCAAACAGTGGTAATAATAAAACCTGCGTTATCTGAATTTATTTTATTTATCTGGATAATTTCATTTTTAAGTTTGATTTTATGTCCGTAATGTTTTCCTTTTATTGTAGCCTATATCTTTTTTTGATGGTTTTTGTTCAATTCCATAATTTCTTCCAATCAGAGTCAAGATCAGTGACATCATGCATGCCGATACCATGGTTAAGCATCCTTAGGTCACAAACCAAAATTATTACTGACTGCATCAGACAGTCAGAAAAAAAATTGTGAATGATTTTGGATAAGCAAGTATTGAAATATATATCTAACTATAATGTGGACTTTGATCTCTATTAATTTTTCAGATTATGAATCTGGACATATGTGACTTAGATGTATAATGACATGTGAAGGTCACTATGACAGTACTTTTGACAAATTTGCCACCAGAATTAATCATCAGAATACTTGAAGATTTACCCAGCAGAGAAATTGGACATTTAAGTCGGACGTGTACACAACTCAGAGCAATATGTAGAACTGATATTGTATGGCAGAAACTTTGTCAACAAGGTATGGATCTAGACCCTTACAATGGCATCATTACTCTTGGTGGACATTCAACCTTTGAATGTCAGTTAGATCTTCTGTGTCACTAGATTGCTGTCTTGTTGATGTATACTCAACTTATCCATTTATTCACATTAAGATTCAGGATCCTCACCGAGATGTGTTCTGGACTCAAGAAAATAAGACTGACTTATCATATCTAAACACATAAATCTAAATCTTCGTCAAGATTCCATGAGATAGATTTTTTTTTCTTCCTCCCCCCGACCCCCCCCCCCCCCCCCCCCCCCATTTTGTTTTAGACCAAAGAATTAAAAGATAATTTAAGGCTTTGATTGTTTTTTTTTCTATTACAATATATATATATATACTAAACAATAAAACAAACAACCAATTTGATTGAAATATCTTTAGTTAAAAATTTAATGTGACAGCAACCCATCAACAGAGGTTAAAACTAAGGAGACATCTAGAAGTCAGTTATGAATCACACCTGACATTTAGTTATAAAAATTACTTAAAGTGTAAGCCAAATAAAAAGTAAGTATTGTCAGGTGCTGTTAATTATGTGTTTTACAGTACTTACTTTTTATTTGTCATAAATAATTTTCCGCTGATTCACATAATTACAATGTCTTGAACTAAGGAAAGCTTTGTTGTAGCTATTGTGTTTGGAGACCTCTTTGTGTCAGTAATTATTCTCTCTATTACTAAGTAGAGAGAATACTGACACAAAGAGTTACCTTAAGTATAAGCATTAAAATTCTTCTGAACGACCAAAGTAGACAGGGCTGTTATGTATACTGTGGAATTATTTATATTCCTGGATACCAATTTTCTTGGACTGATGACAAATTTTATTATTGTAGTTTTATTTAATTTTGTGGATTTGCAGATTTTTGCATATAAAGAAATTTGTTCTTATTTGAACATTCAAATTTAGTGTTTACCAAAAGTCACAGAATCCACAAAAATTAGTTAATGTATTTCACTAATAATATATCCGCAGTAAATATAAATGTTTCTTAAACCAGAAAATGATGGTGGTTTAATTTAGCTGAGGCCGTTATTTTTACATATATAAAAATGATAAAATGCTGAGCAAAAAATGGAAACAACAAAGATTATTTGTAAAAGGATATGACAAGTATAAGTCATAGAGACAGCAAACCAACAGTATAACAAATAATCAAAAGACCTTAATCTGGCAGTATACAGTTTTTATACAACAATAGAGAAATTGTGTTTGTTATACAATATATATGTCAAACATTGCACTGATTATAAACATGTTGTAAATAATTAAACAGAAACTTTAAAAGATCTGCACGGACTGTTGGTTGATATCTCTAGGCACTCTGGCTTCCTTCACCATATAAAACTAGTCGCCATGATGTTGCGAGAGTGTTAAAAGTTGGGTTAAACATGAACAAACAATCATTCAATCAAACAAAGATCTGCAATTAACACCAAATGCTCCAAATAACAAATACTTCACATACAGAAGTAAATAAGTTGATGTTTTTTTTTACAGTATGTGATATAAAAGTGGATGAATGGGAGACAACATATTATAATATTTATACAAAAGGTGAGTTACATAAATTACCAAGCTTTAAAAAATTAAACAAACTGGAAATTTATGAAAAGTTGCAGTTTATACTAAAGAGGCATCAGTAGTTTTACTGATATTCAAATCTCACAAATTTATTAAGAAGATTAAAATTAAGGTAAAAAACTAAACTGAGGAATTCCAAGGATTTCCTGCTCCTACTCAAACATGGAAAAAAGTGGAAACATGTCATTCACAAAAAAACTAGGATAAAAAAGGAAGAAGGTGCCATGGTGACAATCAAAACCCAAAACAAGACTGTTTTTCTTGTTGAGGGTCGTATTGTGTCTTAGTGTCTTATATCCACTTCATTTAAAGTCTGGTGGATAGTTGTTACATTGGCAACTAAAGATAGTCCATAAAGTACTACAGGAAAACCTAAAGCTGGAGCAACTAAACCCTAGCAATAATTACCTGTGTAGTCTGGTACTCAATTAAACTGAAAACAACAAATGAGCGTCACAAACTCCACAGGAAAACATGGGATGAACTCAATTGCCCTGGAAGAGTAAAACTAACAAATAAATCTTATTGATTTCTAGTTCTACACAGATATGGGAGATGTCTGGGATTGTGGAGAAGGAACATATTGCCTTATGGTGGACTATTACAAATTAAAGTAAGTATTAACCTAACGTCTTGTTTGTTTGGTTGCTGTCTAGCTGAGATATTAAGTGTTCTTACATTTAAATGTGACTTTCCTGTATGTTTCATAAAAAGATTAACTTTGTCAGATTACCTCATAAAGCAGACCAACAAGTTCTTCGTGAGATGTGGTACAATGTATGATTGCCATTTAGACAACTATAAAACAGAGACCAAGTGGTGTGGATTTTACCAATTATAGGTCAATGTATGGCCTCCACAATGAACAAAACCTACTGCATAATCAGCTATTAAAGACCCAAACATAACAAAATGTGAAACTAATCAAAGGAAAAAACCAACAACCTGATTTATGACAAAGCAAAAGTATGAAAGTTAACATGTTTTCAAAATAAATGTCTTTGAAATATCCCTTTTTTTATTCTTGCAATAATTTCAATGTACACAATTATGGTGTATCATGCATTCTTGCCACAGCTGTGTTTATGAATTGTTACATTATTTAAAATCAAATGAAGATAAAAAGTCAGGTTTGAAATATTGACAGAAATATTACTTCTATAAGTTATTTTGACTTTTAACTGTTAATTGATAAAACTGCATATAACTGTCTGCAAATATACTTTTGATTTGTTTGAATGTTGCACCTATAAAATCTCTTTTATCTATAAGCTTATGTTTAATTCTGTATGGACAGGTAGACCATGGTAGACTTTTAGCAACAGAATACAAACCACCTTTTGTATCAGACATGCATGGTCCATTACGACCTAAGAAAGTGTTTAGTATAGGTATAAATAAATCGACCAATCGGACAGAGATACTGTGTTTACATGGATATGGTGGGGCACATCCTGGTAGTATAGAATTTGTAAGTACCATATACACACATGGGTATTTTAAAGCACATCCCGGTAGTGTAGAATTTGTAAGTACCATATACACATATGGATATGGGTAAAGCCATAAAGGTGGTCTGGAAAGTGTGACATTAGGATATAAAATTGAAGTTTTTGATATATCTATCAATTCACATTATTTTGTTAGCAACCATCTGTATCTTACTACCTCTTTTTATTTGAAACCCATGGTCTTGCTATGTTTTTGTAAAATTGACCTTCCTTGTATATTTTGTGTAAGTTATATTGACAATAGTGCAATCTTTTGTTTTAAATAGTTTCTTATGGGATTAATGAAATGTATCAATACTTAGCTGCACATAATATCTTTCAACATCATTATATCATAGACCAATTCACAGAGATATCCCTGATGTTCTGAAATGTCAGTGCTCTGAGCAAGATCAGTATGTTATAGATGTCCAAAATAAAGTTTTCTTCTAGTAACTTGTGTAAAACGTTTTTTGAACAGCAATTATATTTGTAAACATAATTATTATATTTTAAATGAAATATTTTATGTAGTTGTTGTAAACCCAGATTTTCGTTGACAAAATTAAATCCAAATTCAATGTATGTTATTTTGACAATAACCCTTTTTGATAGTTTTTCTGCCTTAATTTTAAAACAGGCCACTCAAAAAACAGGGGGTCAACACTAGCTGATTTTTTAAGTAGGGGAAAACTTATCCAATACAGCTCAATCTTCTAAATGAAGTCAGAAGAAGATGACTATTAAATCTTGTATACCATATCTTACATGTAGGTTATATTGACGAATAGTGTTTAAATTTAACCTTTTTCAAAACATTTTTTTAAAGATTTTTTTTCTACTATTGCCTAGGTAACTGATGGTTATTTTTCATTTTACCAAATTATGATTGAATGCCTTTATTGCTCACAACACTACCGTCTTTTGGTTGTTATATTGACACAATGTCAAGTAACTTACTGAAAAAAAACAGGAAATCTGGTGTAACATCTGAACACAAAGAGTTTGATCCATTATGTTTATTTTGATATTAACTTAATTCTTGAATGCATGCAGGGGTTCATGTTAGTTATTGTTCAGCTAATAATAAAGTCACAAGCTCATAACCAAAACTATCTGAGATCTATCAGATCAAAGTGACAACTATAGAATGCAAGAAAAATAAAGGTGCACTAATTCACAAATCCAAAAGGGAGAGGAGAAATCAAGATAAATAACAAGAAAAGAACAAACCTTAAATAACAACTCAAACCCAATAAAACTATCCGGTGCACTGCAAGAGTTAGCTTAGCCTGATGGTAAACAGACACTTAATGAATTACTCACAGTATTTAGGGGAACATATTGTTTACTGTTGGTATTAAGGAGTATTGTTAAATAGGCTCACTTGAACTGACTTTGTACTTTGGTCAAAGGTTGCTCATTTAATATGTACAGTTATGATACTCTTGGCTATGTCAGATGGTGACTTTATTGATCAACTGTTTTCAACAATTTTTTTCAAGAGCTTATTAAATCAACACTTTTGAAAGTAAAGTATAAAACACATTAATGTATGAGTTTGACTATCCCTCTGGTATCTTTCGTCCCTCTTGTATGACAATACTAATAATTAAACCACTATTCAAGAATCAAACCATAAATCATTTATTTAAACAATTTAAAAACATTTTTTTAAAGTGCATTCTGCTGTCTATTCCACTGTTCATACTCAGTTGATTTATCTCAAAGATCTGAAAAGCAATAAATAAAGAAGTTTTATACATGATTTTAAATTGAAATGAATGAAAATGTGAGTCAAGGCTCCATGTTGAAGGCCATAACGTGACTTTATAGGCTATAATTGGTTTTTTTTACTTCTTTAGGTCTTAGGTAGAGAGTTGTTTCTTTGGCAATAATACCACATCTTCTTATGTTTATGATGTTGTATGTTATCCATGTTGAAAACAGCATTGGAAATAAGTACCACTTCACATTGATTTGCATTGTGTCTACATTCATGTTTTTATTGTCAAATTCAAGGGTATGGGGAGGTTGAGTGCTTAAAATAAACTTTTGGACCATTGTTATATTGACTTGAATCCTTTAGTCGTCAACTTAAATGCTCTATTTCAAAGAAGCAGGAAATATGCTTACAATTTCACTAAAAGGCTTAATTTTTTTTATTGTACAAGAGATGTGTAGGCTAAAAGCCAAAGTCAACATATTTCAGTAGTAATAGTAGCTTTAGGACTACTGTGGGAGTAGGAGTTATATTGACCCTAACATTAAGGTGTCAACTAACTCCCTTAATGACCATTGTTATATTGACTATGCATATAATTGTCAACTAACACCCTGTGAAAAAGCACTGAAAATTACTTCACCCTTTTTAAATGTATATTCACTTTCCCCCTTTATTATCTGTAAGTTGAAATAGAAGTTAAATGAAAAGAATGGTGCAGTATATCTCTACAAAGATCATCTACATCCTAGGTGTTATATTGACTGGGTTGACAAAATTGGTCAAGTAACGGTCATATCGATGTTACCGTAAAAAGTGAACGAACGGTTTGACTTGGGTGTTTGAATGCGTTGTTTTCGTTAGTTCTTATCATTCGAAGCATATTATTTTGGCAAAAATTATATAATACAGTGTCAATTTGACAGAATGGTTTGGTCGTTATACCTTGTTTGACGCCCTGGTCGTTATTAGTTTGACATTTTGCTCAAAACTTACCATCGAGTTCTTCTTCCATTTTCATCCATGAATGATAGTGATGTTTACATTTAGTTTCGTATATATAGCAATTTTGAAATGAAACAAAGTATTTTTTCTCCCTGGATAAACTCTTTCTGTCAGTAATAAGGAATAAACATTTACGTACGTTTAACGTTATTTTGACATTACAAACTTGCCATTCTATGTTTCTCATAAAACGGAATACGAAACCAAAACTAGAACTATTTGAAACAGCCGAGATACGACGGCGCATGAATATGACAGGAACCAATCAAATGTTCCGCAGATGACGATATCGCGGAAAACCCCGTGCGTTATTTTTACCATTATAGTCTATTGTCAATATAACATTACTAACCTTGTCGAAATAATCGTTTCTTTGATTAATTTTACTGCATTTCACGCAAAACTTTGACGGATTTATAGTGCAACAACACTTTTCTGACGATTTAACTTACTTTCCGTTTTTCTTTTGCCCATAAAAACAACCAGGTATATTTTTTGTTAGAAGGGGATTTCCATGTCACGCTTTGGACACAGGAACGTACAGATCTACGTTTGACAAACTTCAATAACAAGACACATTGAATTAGCGGATATTTGATATTTATCAAAACTTCTGCTTCATCATGTCACTGATGCACAATAACAAGTTGTAATCAAATAACATTTATTAAATATTTTAAAATTGGGATTTAAGCTTCAGATGGTTATTTGACCAATTTGGAGCACCTTTTTGGCTTTACCCATATTTTATAGCACATTCCGGTAGTGTAGAATTTGTAAGTACCATATACACATATGGGTATTTTATAGCACATCCCGGTAGTGTAGAATTTCTAAGTACCATATACACATATGGGTATGTATAGCACATCCTGGTAGTGTAGAATTTGTAAGTACCATATACACATATGGGTATGTATAGCACATCCTGGTAGTATAGAATTTGTAAGTACCATAACACACATGGGTATGTATAGCACATCCTGGTAGTGTAGAATTTGTAAGTACCATATACACACATGGGTATTGTATAGCACATCTTGGCAGTGTATGTGAGGGGCAACTGTAGCTGCGTGGTATAAGTAGTTGAGGTTACCAGTTCATACCCCTCATGTGGCAGGTGTGTTTGACTGTAGCACTAGCCTGTCAACACTGAGGTTATTAGTTCATACCCCTCATGTGGCAGGTGTGTTTGACTTTGTAGCACTAGCCTGTCTACACTGAGGATATTAGTTCGTACCCCTCATGTGGTAGGTGTGTTTGACTGTAGCACTACCCTGTCAACACTGAGGTTATTAGTTCATACCCCTCATGTGGCAGGTGTGTTTGACTTTGTAGCACTAGCCTGTCTACACTGAGGATATTAGTTCGTACCCCTCATGTGGTAGGTGTGTTTGACTCTTTAGCACTAGCCTGTCAACACTGAGGTTATTAGTTCATACCCCTCATGTTGCAGGTGTGTTTGACTGTAGCACTACCCTGTCAACACTGAGGTTATAAGTTCGTACCCCTCATGTGGCAGGTGTGTTTGACTCTGTAGCACTAGCCTGTCAACTCTGAGGTAATTAGTTCGTACCCCTCATGTGGCAGGTGTGTTTGACTGTAGCACTAGCCTGTCTACACTGAGGTAATTAGTTCATACCCCTCATGTGGCAGGTGTGTTTGACTGTAGCACTAGCCTGTCTACACTGAGGATATTAGTTTGTACCCCTCATGTGGTAGGTGTGTTTGACTGTAGCACTAGCCTGTCAGCACTGAGGTTATAAGTTCCTACCCCTCATGTGGCAGGTGTGTTTGACTTTGTACCACTAGCCTGTCAACTCTGAGGTAATTAGTTCGTACCCCTCATGTGGCAGGTGTGTTTGACTGTAGCACTAGCCTGTCTACACTGAGGTTATTAGTTTGTACCCCTCATGTGGTAGGTGTGTTTGACTGTAGCACTAGCCTGTCTACACTGAGGTTATAAGTTCCTACCCCTCATGTGGCAGGTGTGTTTGACTGTAGCACTAGCCTGTCTACACTGAGGTTATTAGTTTGTACCCCTCATGTGGTAGGTGTGTTTGACTGTAGCACTAGCCTGTCAGCACTGAGGTTATAAGTTCCTACCCCTCATGTGGCAGGTGTGTTTGACTTTGTACCACTAGCCTGTCAACTCTGAGGTAATTAGTTCCTACCCCTCATGTGGCAGGTGTGTTTGACTCTGTAGCACTAGCCTGTCAACTCTGAGGTAATTAGTTCGTACCCCTCATGTGG